TGACCTTGTTGGAGAAGTGTTTAACTGAGGATAGACGTTGAGGTTTCAGAAGCTCAAGCCAGGCCCAGTGGCTGGCGCTCCCCCCCCCCCCCCCCCCCGGTTACCTGCTAATCCAGATCTAGCTCTCTTAGCTACCTCTCCAGCACCATGTCTACCTATGCGCCACCATGCTTCCTGCCATGATGATAATGGACTAAACCTCTGAAACCATCAGCTAACCCAATTAAATGTTTTACTTCATAAGAGTTGCTGTGGTCATGGCGTCTCTTCACAGTGATAGAAACCTTGACTAAGCAAAGGAACAGGTTCCTCAGTACACCTTCCTAGGGTCAAAGGCCTCACTTGTCCCATGGCTTGACGCTTCTCACCTCCAGACCCCAGGGGCAGCTCATTCTGTCTCGTTCTCCCTTCCCCTTTCTCCTCACAACTTCTTCCTTCATGGTGAATGTCACTATCAATTGTTTGACCGGATGGCTTCCAGGTCCTCCCTACCCAAGGTGTCACCCACACCCAAAGCCTCAGCTCCCCTCTGCACCCACAGCTCTGTAGCTTCCCTGAGCCCCTGCAGCCAACTGCCAACTTTATTTCTCCAACTAGGTCTTCCAAGCACTAAGACCTGACGGATGTAAGCCACACTTCACCTCCATCTAAGTTCAGTCTATGCGACTGCCTCAGGTCTCACCAAGGGAGGGGAGGGGGCTGAGGGTCAGGGACATGAACCCAGCCACGGTGAAGAACTGAGGTGAGCCACGTTGAGCTGATGTTAGAGTCACTTCTCATAGCGCCCATCCAGGGAAGGCCCACATCCTGATCCCAGGAAAATGCCCCTGACATTTAGCTGCTCTGTCTTCTTAGTTTGTCCTATCTGCCAGTTCACTTCCGTGCCACCGCTGGGTACAGGAATGGCACACGCTGTCTTCCAGTGTTCAGACTCGCTGGGTACAGGAATGGCACATGCTGTCTTCCAGTGTTCAGACTCGCTGGGTACAGGAATGGCACACGCTGTCTTCCAGTGTTCAGACTCGGTGGTGGTTTGAACGAGAACGGCCCCCTAGGCTCATTCATTCAAATGCTTAGTCGCCAGGGAGAGGAACTGTTCAGGAGGATTAGGAGGTGTGGCCTTGTGGGAGGAAGTGTGTCCCTGGGGATGGGCTTTGAGGTTTCAGAAGCCTAAACCTGACCCACACTCCCCCTCGGCCTGAGGATCAGGATGTAGCTCTCCACTACCTCTCTAGCACCATGGGAGCTGCCATTCTGTTTATCATGATGATAATGGACTAAGGCTCTGAAACTGTAAGCAAGCCCCCCGATTAAATGCTTTCTTTTATAAGAATTGCCAGGCTGGGCGGTGGTGGCGCACGCCTTTAATCCCAGCACTTGGGAGGCAGAGACAGGCGGAGCTCCGTGAGTTCGAGGCCAACCTGGTCTACAGAGCGAGTTCCAGGAAAGGCGCAAAGCTACACAGAGAAACCCTGTCTTGAAAAACAAAACAAACAAACAAACAAACAAACAAAAAAAGAATTGCCTTGGTCATGATGTCTCTTCATGGCAATAGAACAGTGACTAAGACAGACTACATCCATCTCACACTCTCCCTCTGTTTGTCAGTCTGTCCATTCACCCACCATTTCTGTCTGTCTGTCTACTGCTCTCTCTCCCCTCCACACACACTGACACTTGGACACACACATGCTCCTTTTCTATAGCTGCTGTACACCCACGTGAGAATTAGCAGATGCTCCCCCAACATGTCCAGCCTGCAGCCCATGAACCACATGGACCCCAGGATGGCTATGAATGCAGCCTAACACACAACTGTAAACTTAAAACATGAATTTTAAAAACACAATTGTATGGTCTGTCCTCCTCTGGAAAGACCATCACTAGCAGATCAACTGGCTCCCTAATAGAATCCCATCCTGCCTGGACCAAGTCTTCAGTGGCGCTCTGCAGGGCCTGGGCAACAATATCCATCCCACAAGACTGAGTGCTTAGAAGGCCACAGTCCCCCACTGACCCACTTATTGTGCCCTGCAACCCCTAGAAGGGGACAGGGCCATCCTTCAGATGGCATAGAACCTAAGTCCTAGCCCCCCTACAACTGAATTCTGGGAGGCCCCGTTAGCCATATACAGGGGCTACCATGAGCCCCTGAAGTAGGAACAGTGTAGCTCAGAGTGGTGGTGAAATCTGAGACACTCCAGAAACAAGCTCTTCATTGAGTCTGAGCTTTGCCCCCAAGGTGTGGCCGACTCAGACAGTCTCACATTATAGAAGTCCTCAGGGGCTAGTGACTGAGTATTTAGGACTTGACCCTTGTCCTGCCCTTGCAAAGATTTGTCACCTGCACGGTGGTCTGTCTGTCCCACAGCCCCTGTGGGAGGTTCCAGGCTGTGATGGGATTCAGCCCTCTCAGTGCCATGAGCTGAGATGGTCACAGGGGTCTATTAAACAGAGAGGAAGACTGTGTGTGGCCAGACGGACAAGGTCCCACATGGGGGCTGGAAGAGGCAAGAACGTCCAGGTGCCATCTCCATGCATGGACAGGCTCAGCTCTCCTGTCTTGACGCTCAGTCTTTGAAGAACACATCTGCCTCGGAGCTCTGGGAGGTCGGGTTGATGCAGAATAGCAAGATAGGAAAATTATAGGGCGTGGAATGGGGATGGGGAAAGAGCCCTCACCCTGGGGCCTGTTTGAATCCTCTTACAAGGGAGAATTCTCACATAATTAACATCATTTGCTGTGATGCTGCTAACACGGACATAGCATTCTTTATGTAGAAAACGATTTCTTGTCAAATAGCAGTGATCCAGGCCTAAGTCCTGATTGTATATCCTCTTGGGTGGGACCCCATTCTTCCCCAGACACTTTCTGGGAATGTCACAAACAAGACTGTTAACTTGTTTACATTGGAGATATCTTAGCTTCCTGAACTCTTGAGATCTAGAGTTTTAACTTATCAATTGTAATCATGTCAGGTGCCCTCGGGAAAGATCCTGTAATGATCTCACTTAAATTCCTTAGAAACCCTTTGAAGATAATACCTTTAAGACGCACCAAAATCCTACCTATGACTATAATGGAGGACCAGGGAGATGGTTCAGCCAGTCACCTGTGCGCCATGCAAGCATGAGGTCCTAAATCAGATTCCCTAAAGCCCATGAAAAGCAAAACAAAACAAAACACTGGACACAACAATGCATACCTGTCATCCCAGAACCAAAGAGGTAGAGGCAGGAGGATTCCTGGAGCTCAATGGCCAGTCAGTGGAGCCAGTTGGTGGGTGAGTTCTTGGTTCAATGAGAGACTCTGTTCCAAAAATAAGATGGAGAGAAATCAAGGAAGACACCAGATGTCAATCACACACACACACACACACCAAAATAAGTAAAAAGTTCTAATGTGTGTGTGTGTGTGTGTGTGTGTGTGTGTGTGTGTGTGTGTGTGTGTGTGTGTGTGTATTTAACTCTGCTTCATACTGACATTCTTTTTGTGTTGAAGCCAAAAGTCTGGGTTTTATGTTAGTAGAGGTCTCTGTAAAGAAGTCCTCAGGCTGCTTGGGTGACAGTGCTGAGCTGAGCCTCATTCCTGCCATCACTGCCAAGGTGAGGGATCTGCACAGAGCACAGTGGAAATTCTGACAGCTAGGGCAGCTGTCTTCAGGTCTAAGAGGTAAAACATTTTAGTGAAGTCAAAAGCCCAACAGTGGTGACGATGTCATCACTGAAATGACTTCCCTGGCTGGGTGGGAGCCACACTGACAACAGCCCAGTGGTGCGGTGGATGTCGTGTTGGGAAGCAGCAAAGGGGAGTCCGGAATGCTCTGTGGAGGCTGAAAAGCTATGCCGGTCCCTACGATGAGTGGCAGCTACCAGGTGGGTACAACATGATGCAAAGCTCCTGTGAGCCCCACGAAGGGCTCACATGCTTTTTGTTTATTTACCGACAGTCCTTAGCTGACTTCTTTCTCTGCCTTCATTTTTTTCTAACCAAATGTGCTTTCTTAGCAATGAGAAAATAGACTTAAGTTTTGAGGCATTGGTACCTCTAAAAAGAAGAGGGCTCGGCCTTTGTCTTCCAAGGTCCCTGAAGCTTGGCCAGAGCCCTGTCTCCTGCAGGGAGTCTTCGGTGGCCCCATCTGTTCTCCAAAAGTTCTGGTTCCCATACCCCAGAAGTAAGGACACAGTACAGATGTCAGCATGGAGGCTGGGAGCCGGGGTCCGTCCCTTTGGAGTTCGGTGACCTTGTCAAGCCATGATGGCAGGACTGCAGGTCCCCTCACTATGTGTAGTGAGGTTGACCTTATAGACTGTCTCCGGGCTCTACAACTTTCTAAACCATAGACTCTAAGGGCTTGTGACCATCACTTTGTGTCCAGGAAAGAGAAGAATGAGAGATGGAGCCTGAGGTAGGTAGGGGTGGAGATGGGGTACCATTGGCCATGCAGAGATATTGCTGTACCTGAGCTGCAAGGTGATGGGGTGAGTGGGGCTAGAGCAGGTGCAGGGGCAGTGGGCTGGCTAGAGCCTTGGAGGATGTGCTGGCCAGTTTTATTTCAACTTGACACAAACTAGAATCATTCTAGAAGAGGGAACTTCAGTTGATAAAATGCCACCACCTGATTGACCCATCGGCAAGACCATGGTTCGTTTATTTGATTGATGAGGGCCAATCTCACTGTGGGCTGATGGTCCAGGGTGCTGTAAGAAAGCAGGCTGAGCAAGCCAGTAAGCAGCACCCCTCCATGGCCTCTGCATCAGCTCCTGCCTCCAGGTTCCTGCCCTATGTGAGTGCCTGCTCTGACTTTCCTCAGTGATGGACTGTACTGTGGAACTGTAAGCTGAACTAAGCCCTTTCCTCCCTAACTTGCTTTTGGTCATGTTTATCACAGCAAGAGAAACCCTCATTAAGACAGGGCAGAACCTTCTAGCTGTCCCTGCCCAGTGAGAAGAAAGTGCAAGACACAAGGTCTTATTTCCTGCTGCTTCATGCCCTTCAGGTTTCAGGAAGGTGACCCTGACACCAACTCATAGAAGGAAGGAACAGGCAAGACATGGCCCCTCTGCAGCCCTCCGGGACTGCTTCAAGGCCCATGCTCCTGGAACACCTGGGATCAGAATCTACCCACAGTTGAACAGGCTTCTCCACAGCAGCCAGGAGGGCAGTGTGCCTCATCACAGACAGCTGGATCCTACTCTGTTGGTCACAACAAAGTCTATGACCAAGGGACCTTGTAGCCCATCCATGCAGTCTCAGATGGAGAGAAACTTCACTTTCTACCTATCACCCCCCCCAACTCGCATTTCCTGATTTCATCCCCGGAGTTTATCCATCCCTGTGTCCACCAGAGCTGAGCTGGGCTTCACGCGGGGAGGGGCAGAGACGGAGGTGTAGATGTGTGCAGCCCATGCTGGGTTCTGAGAAACCATATTCTAAGTGTCCAGGCTCCAGCCACCCCCACCCCCACCTGGGCTCCCAGCTATGTCAGGAATCCAGCCCTTGTGCAGCCCACCAGCATGGGGTGGCTGCCATGGCAACGGGCATGCAGGGTCAGGCGCATCCCTTCATTGTGAATTCCCCAGCCAGCAAGCCAGGGCTGGACAGGGCTGCTCAAGTGTCCAAGAAGGTGGGTGGTCCTTGGCTACGGACTCTTCCCCCTACCTGATCTGTGCTCACAAGTGCCCGCAGGGAAGAGCTTTAGCTGCACTGCTGCTGAAAATGGATTTTGGAGCTGCAAGCCCATGTGAATGCCACTACCTCCACACCAACTCATCCCGCGAGAGCGCCAGACCATGTAGGTCTCTGTTCTGGGAGGTCCCACTCAGTAACATCGCACTATTAGCCCACAAAAGTCACAGTGACCTTGAAGAAATCCTGGCTACTTAAAAATGAGCTCTCCCCAGGGACAGCACGTGATTCACCCAGGGACAAATCTCGCCTCTGTTTCTCTTTTAAAGATAGTATTTAGCATTGGGCAATGCGGGGGATGCTTGGAACCAGTCCTGTTCACTCGGGATTCCTGAGATGGGAGCAATTTACCTGTAACTTGAAGATAAAAGCTGTGTAGAAGACACTGTGACCTGCCTAGAGGTGGCAGGCTCTTCTCTCCCTGCCTCACAGTTCTGGGCTCAGTGCTAGGGAACTGACTCCAGGCAATTCAATTCAATTCTACTGCATTGCCCAGCTCAGCAGAGTCCTGGGGACCATCAGAAGGGTCAGGCTTTGCCTCACAGGCCTCCTGTACAGCACCTGGGGATCCTGTGGCAGTGAGACTGGCAATGTTGCTTTCCCACAATGCTATGCTCTCTCTCTCTCTCTCTCTCTCTCTCTCTCTCTCTGAAGTTTCCTTTAAGTAAAATACAGTCAAGTCTCAATGATCACAGTATATTTGCAAATTCACATTCTGGATAAAATTTACTTGCAACTCCAAAATCAATCTCTGTAGCACTATCATGGTTTATTCATAGATAAAGGTCACCGAGCAATGAAGAATGTGACCCCATGTTCTAGGCTAAGGCCACAAGCAATACTCTGCCTCCTTGTGTGTGTGAGAGAGTATGTGGTGTACAAATGTGTGTGTGTGTATAAGTGTGTGGCTGTGTGTGGGAGAGGGTGGGAGTGTGTAAATGTGGCTGTGTATACACTCACCATGACTGTCCCTCGGTGTCTCCCACAATGGCTGTGCTAAAACTTCAGCCCTGGAGGTACATTTGGGCACATTAAGGCTCTTGCCTGACCAGAAGCTTCCACAATGAAGATCTTGCTCGTTCATCAAACTCCAACTGAATGTGAAAGGAAACGGAGACAGCAAACTCCTGGGCGTCCCTGACTCATGTACAGCTAACAGAGAAGTTGGCTAGTGCCTGGCCAAGCCCTGGCCTCCTTCCCTTGCCTGTTTGGAGATGATCCCTGTCTGGAGATAGTGATGGGTAGCAGGACATTGTGGCCACACTCCTTCTCCTAACTTGGATATTGGATGTGGTCTAAGATCCCTGGAAGAAGGAAGCCCAGAACCCCACCCCTGTTCATGGAATGCTGGCTGCTTGCACTGGAACCCCATTGCTCTGAGAACAGCTCCCGGTCCCAGGCACAATACTCTAAAAGGAGTGTTCCCCAGAACCCTTGTATAGGGATTTCCAGGCCAGATATCAGCGGCAGACCGTGCTCAGGAACATCTGTCCAGTCCCCAAAGATCTTGTGGCCCGAGGTCGTGTCTTTCTCCAGCTCTGAGGAATTCAAAAGCTATTTTGGACACTGGCTTTTCCAGGATGGCCCAGCTAGACCAGAGGGACTGCTGAGAGGGTAGGGGTGGGGAGGCCAGGAGGCTAGACCCATACTGGAGTGAGGGGATGGAATCCAGGATTCCCTCAGCAGGAAACAAGCTTTCTTCCTTCCAACCTTAGGTTCTCAGCCTGCCGGGGGGCCTGATACAGGCCCTGTGGGTGTGGGGTGAGGGGGTGGGTGATGGGGGGTGGTTGCTCCCTCTGCCTGTCCACATAGGGAAACCATGTGTATTTTTTACTTTATCTTCTGTTCTCTTAAATGATGTGGCAAGGGGCCATGGCACCAGTGAGGCTCTGGCAATGACTTTGAGTCCAGCCAAGTTTGTGGCCAGGGACACCCTCAGCTATTCTTACCTCACCTGCCTGTTCTCTCCAGCTGACTGCGTGGCTCGTCTGTGTTTGTGTCTTGGTGTCTTCAGCTGGATAGAAGAGGTCATTGGTTTCTGTTGCTTTTGATTTCTGGACTTCCCTTTTCTCCCTTTCTCATGGAGCTGTGATGGCTGCTCCTTTGTGTTGATGGCCATATACTGCCTCATGGTGTGGCTAGGTCCAAAGCACCTGTGTGGATTCGTCTCTGGGGCTCATGCATGTGAATAATGCTGCTATGAACACATGCACACACACCAAGAAGTCAAACTGCAGCTCCTGGGGTTCAAATTTACGGGCAATCTCGAAACTCTTCCCGAAGTAGTGGTTCACTTTTTTCAGCTGGGTCTGAAGTCATGTGTTGCTCTCCTTTGCTTTGGGGTCTCCAATCACCCTGGTCTGTGGCTGATCCCCCATTCCCTGCCTCCATCTACAGCCACGTGAGTGTCCTGTTCGGTTTTTCCCACTCTTCTGAGATGCCTGCCAGCTTGCTGACCACTCAGAGATGTCCCCTACATAACCTCATGACCCAGCTTTCAGTACTAAACATCTCTCCCTGTTGACAATTTACTTGCAAGGGACAAACATCCTCCACTTAAAACTTTCTTTCCCACTTCCACAACCACCCCCTCCCCGCTACATCCCTCTGGGCCCAGGACTAGGAGGATAGACTGGACTGTGCTCCTTGCTTTCTGCCTCTGGAGGGGTTCACCACAGGTTAGCCCTGCAGGTGGGCAGAGCCTGGAGCAGGACGAGATGGGATGTGGTCCTGGGCTTCCTGGAGGCCAGCTGTTCTCACAGAGCTCCGAGGCAGCATGCACCTCTGGAGCTACACATGCTGTGCGGGACTCTTTAAACCCTGCGTCAGCCTTTACATAATGTCCCTTTCAACTTCCCCATAAACATCCCTCCTGTGTCCTGGCTTCTTGCTGGGACCCTGATCTAAACTGCATGTGCTGTGTTTATGAACTTGTTTGCCCTCCCAACCTCGAAAGGAGAGTCAGTCACTTGTATTTTCCACTTGGAATTTATCTTTAATTTCTGACATTGAACTTAATCTCTTGGGAGTGGCTTTCACTTTTCCATATAATACCTGCTCCTTTTCTAGCTCTATCATATCAGTTCCCCTTTCCCGATGACCCTGGACCGTCTGCCCAACCCATGTACGAGCCTGCCTCGCCTCTTTCCCCAGTCCAGGCATTTGTCTAACCTGTCAATCATACATCACCCTGATTGTGCGACTTACCTCAAGATTTTGTTGTTGCTGTTGAGGCTGTGGCGACAGTTTTGTCCTCTTCTTGCTGTGTTTGTTGTTGGTATACAGCTGCAGTTCTCAACCTTCGGGAGAACATGCCGGGGTGGGGGTCAAAGTGAGCCTTTGATTTTAGGGGGAGCCCCATAAAGCTTGAAGATATCCTTAAGAGGAGCCTAGACCAATGGTTCTCAACATGTAGGTCTCAACCCACATAGGAGTTGCATATTAGATCTCCTGCATATCAGATATTTACATTATATTCATAACAGTAGCAAAATTGCAGTTATGAAGTAGCAATGAAAATAATTTGATGGTTGGGGGGTCGCCACAACATAAGGAACTGTATTAAAGGGTTGCAGCATTAGGAAGGTTGAGAACTACTGTCCTAGAATCACTGGAGAAGAGCTGCAATTAAGAAATTGTCTAGCCGGGCGGTGGTGGCGCACGCCTTTAATCCCAGCACTTGGGAGGCAGAGCCAGGTGGATCTCTGTGAGTTCGAGGCCAGCCTGGGCTACCAAGTGAGTTCCAGAGAGGCGCAAAGCTACACAGAGAAACCCCGTCTCGAAACAAAAAAAAAAAAAAAAAAAAAAAAAAGAAATTGTCTAGATTGGGTTGGCCTATAGATATTTTGGGGTTGGGGGGGAGGTTGGAGTTGCATGTCTTGATTGTTAATTGGGATAGAAGAGACTCAACCTAAAAGTAGGTGACACCTCTACCTTCTCTTCTTCAATCCCTAAGGTAGTATTAGGCAGATTTAGGTTCTAGGATAGCAGTCACATGGTGTTGGGTTCAAGTTCAAACAAGAAAGACCTCTCTGGCAAATGGAAAAGCACAAAGTAGAGGGAATGCCTCCATCAATGGTCTTTACAGAAAGGCGAGCAGCATGCATACATGCTGGGCAACAGGAAGGAGGTTAGCGCCCATGCTCAGTAGGTCTGGGTGGTGTTGAAATGTCTTCCAACCATGCACGATGTTTTAATACTCTGGTTTACTCCCTACTCGTGAAAGCTCAAAAGTGCTTCTAAAAGTCCAGTGTCTAGAGGCAGGGCAACCTGCCTTACTTCCTGTCTGAGTCCAGGTTCCCTGTGCCCAAAATGGGGTGGAGTGGTCACAAGTTTCCTGGAGACTGGCTTGTGGCACCCTCATCCAAGGGTGTCCATTGTTCCTGCCCCCTCCTACCCTGCCTTCTCCTACCCTACCCCCTAAGCCAGCTCACTAACTGACCCCTGATGGGAACCACACATAGATGGGAACCACACTGCAGACTCTGATGGCCCCCTGGGACATTGTGTCTGAGAGCAGCACCAACAGGTAACACTGAGGTTTAGAATCAACCCCTGGCTTCCATCTCTCACAGGCCACCTTGCTGGTGTGGGGCAAGCCTCACAAGTTGTACCTTTTGAGGATATGCCCCACAGACTTCGGTGTGAGGCTGAAGATTCATGGCCTCCTTGAGAAAGGACATGGAGTGAGAGATTCAGGAATGAGAAGCCCAGCTGACTGTTGTATAACAGTTTCCACCAAGATTGAAACATTCCATCCTTCAGGGAAGCTCCTTAAGCAGGAAGGTAAACAACTCAAAATAGGTTCAGGAAGTCCCTGAAACTGACCAGATTCACTAGGCTCCACCTCCCTGTCAAGTAATCTATAAAAGCTGAGAGTCAGTGGGCCGATACAACACTAATTTAACTCCCATGACCCTGTGCAGGTTCTTTCTGCAAGGGGAAACATTTCTGGTGGCTTTAGCACATCTGGGAGGCTAGAAGCCCTGGCTGCCCATTAGACTTCAGGCATAGACTGACCCCATAGTGGGATCAACTTAGAGAGACACCCCTGTATGAGACCAATTTGATGTGGGACACAAAATAAACTAGAATCTTCAAGGTCTCAGGAATGGGAAAGGGCTCCATCCGCACTCAGCCTTTGCCTCAAACAGAGCACAGACCCTAGGCACACTTCAGACTGCCTCTATGAAGGCCCATAGGCAAGCCTGGGAGGGCAGAACAGACTAAGAACTTTCATTATGAAAGTTACTGTGAGTAGAACAAGAGAGCCAGGGCTGTAGCTCAGTACCACATCCAGTTGTTTGTTTTTTTTGTTTATTTTTATTTTTTATTTTTTTTGGTTTTTTGAGACAGGGTTTCTCTGTGTAGCTTTGCGCCCTTCCTGGAACTCACTCTGTAGCCCAGGAACTCAAGGAGATCCTCTTGGCTCTGTCTCCCGAGTGCTGGGATTAAAGGCGTGCACCACCGCCGGCGCCACCCCCCCTGCTATTTTTTTTTAAACTTGGGTTCTGTGTGCTTGCAAAGTAGGACTTCATGGACCAAGCTATATCCCCAGCCTCCCTAGTGTAACTTTTAAAAATGCTTCTTTACTCCCAAGGATATCCTAGTTTATATGGTAAATTACATCTCATTATAACCATGTCATCCCTTGCCCTTCCACTAGGAACTCACTGTAGATCCCTTTGGTCAGACCCTAAGTGCCACTCTGGGTAGACGGCCACCATCACCAGTGACTTCTCTAAGAGCCTGGCAGAGGATTTTTGTAGGAGCTCCCTCCTAAGACCCACAGCAGGGAACTAAAACCACATTGATACTCCAGCTCTTGTCCAGGGGCTCAGTCTCCCCACCTGTCAGGACAGGGGACCATGCCCTAAGACTAGACAGTAGGAAGGTGGATCGCAGTGCAGACCTTCCAAACACTGTCCAGTGCCTCTCAGGTGGGACCTGCATCTCTCTGCTATCGTATGCTTTGTAGTCCACCACGTATAGCAGAGCTGGCCAGCTTCAGGATGGGTTCTGTTGCTCTTTCACGCACTCACTTCTGGATACAATGGCTGGTGCTCAGCTCCAAGGCAGAGCAGGGAAGCAGGGAAAATCTGCTTCAAGCTCTGGAAGGACTCTTCTACAGCCATGTCATGTAACATACAAGGCCTGAGAGAGTGACCAGGCCGCATCAATTGAAAGGACATGCCCAGCCAGGTCAGGCTTGGCCAAGGCCGCGTGGCCTTGCCTGAGCTCTCCTTGGGCTACCCCTGAGTTTGTGTTTTCCTCTTCCTCCATTCACAGAAACCCCTAGAGGGAGGCTGGGGTGAGGGCTGGCCAGAAAACAGGAAAGGGGGAAGCAGATGGGGAGGCAGGGTGGAGCTGGAGGAAAGAGGGAACAATGTGAGAAGGGAGGGGGGAGGGGGCAGGGGAGGAAGGGGATGAGGTGCAGACAGGGCTGAGAGCAGCCTCAGCGCACAATGAAATGAATAACAATGCAGCCCTGGCTTGGGTAGGGCACCTGGGCAGCTCCCTGGGCTCAGCTCCCTGAGCCCTGGACTTCATTCACAGTTCCTTGTTTTTCTCACCCTACAGTGCCTTCCTGTACCCCCAGGTCTGCTCTTGAGTTGGGGGTAGAAACAGAGCCCTTGGGGTGGAAGGAGACACCCTGTGTGTCAGGGC